CAACTGCTTTTCTGACTGTGTGGGAGTTTGTAAGTGAATGCATTAATAATTAACATTTTTCCAGCAAACATTTTGGAAGAAAAAGATTCCATGAATGAGCTATTACTTATCAAATCTTTGTTCCTGCTATGGTTTCTTTCCCAAATTAATACAGGAAGAAATAAATATATATATCAATAGAGAAATAGTCGACACATTTTTGAAGGTGATATAAAAAAATTATCAAAAGCACCAATATCAAAAACTCCTGCATAGAAAAAGACTTATCCACACCAAGAAAGCTTTCTTCACTTTACTGAAGGATTTCTTAAGAAGTCCTTTAAAATCAGTGAACTTTCCTGTCAACTTAAATTTACTCAATATATTAAAAATATCATTGATATAAATTTCAGAATGTACTCATTCCATTAAAAATACAAACACCTGTGATAAGAAAAATAAAATTGAGTGAAGTTTATGTTCTCAAATTTGAGCAAAAAATAATAAGGGATGCTTCAGATTAAATAATTTTAAAGCCTGAAAATATTCATAACATGGATACAATTTTCTTCCTTCAAAACTACTTCCAATTTAAAGTAACTATTACAATATATTTTTAAAACCGTTTTTTCATGACTAAAGGTGGAGACCTGTCATACCAACACATTTTACAAAACTAAAACTTTCAAACACAGCTACTCAAAAAGCAATCATAATAAACTTTTCTAAGCTCTCCCAATATTAATTTTAAAATTTCAAGTAATAATTTGGTCTTACGTAAGCATACGGCTGCCAAATCATGCTATTAATCCAGCTGGCATGTTTACCATGTTATGTCTCTGGTACCTTTCATGGCAGATATTTAAAATATACTACTAACTTTCAAAATCTCAAAATATATTAATGTACAAGGCAATAATCATCCCACTCTGATCAAAAGGTGAACATTCTACCAATTTGAATCAATGTTTATTCCATTTAGTATTTGCTTAATACCATAATACATGTTAAAAAATTATTCGTTAGCTTTAAATCAACCCAAAATATATTGCTGTTTCTAGGAAATTATGTTCTAATGTAGGAATGCAGACTGAGGGGTAGCCAGGGAGGGCTACTTGCACAGAGCAGTAACATGAGTAGCAGGCCCCCTCTGCAAGATTAATATAACATGGGATTCTGAAAAAAAAAGAAAATTAAAGTTTGCAACAGCGTGTGATTCATTTGGGTGAGTGGCACATGTACGTGTTACACATTTCTAACAGATGGCAATGCTTCTCACTATATATACCCATATTTAGTGCTCCAAGAGTACAGAGTCAGCTGAATTTTTAAATTGTAAAACGGATTCACCACATTATACATTTAAACCATAACATTAAAAATATCATCTTGAGACTAGAAATTTTTGTTTTGTTTTGTTTTAGAGACAGGGTCTTGCTATGTTGTCCAGGCTGGTCTTGAACTTCAGGCCTCAAGTGATCCTCCCGCCTCTCCCTCCAGAGTAGCTGGGGTTACAGGCTCGAGCCACTGAGCCTGGCAGAGGCTAGGTTTTTTTTTCTTTAATCATTAGCATATTCTACTAATTACAACTATTTTCGTTTACAAATAATATTCCACTAATTTAAAATCAAATGAAATACTAACGCTGAATGAAAGTACCAAGGTACATCAGAGCCTCTCTCAGGACATCATTATATGGACCCATGGCAGATATCGTGTAACAAATAATATTTCCTTATAATTGGGTGTTAGAGATCAAATCCTATTTAGAAGGGAAAAATTATATGATACCGTAAAATATTAGATAATTAATAAATCAATGAACAGAAGTAAATCTCATTTCAATAAATAATATCTCCAAGATATCCAAGTCTCATTCTCCATCTCACTCCTATCCTAACGTACAGCAGACATTCAAATTAAAAGAGGCTGGGCTGCACCTAAGAGACTGGGCTGCTCTTTAATATGCACTCTGCCCTGTCTTCCCACCTCGTCTATTAGAAGCCTCTACTAAAAATGAAACAACAAAAACAGGTTTTCCATTTTTGGGGAATGATACACTAGATACCTTAAACTACTCTCCTAATGAAAATAACTGAAAGAGAAGAATGAAGTATAATGTCTTTGTAAATGCACCAGTGAGGAGACAATAAAGCATGGAATTCGGAGGCCAAAACAAAAGAAAAGCGAGAATGACAGAATGCCAGGAGGTAGGAAAGCACCAACGCCAGAACCCTGGTCATCTTGAACTTCCATTATAATGATTGCATGGAGCAAGGGAGAGAAAAGATAAAACCAGGACCACTCCAGCTGGTGAGTTTAACAGACCCCCGCACAAAACCAAAATCTCACAGAACTATACCTTAAGCATATGGGAAAATTAGAAATAAACTTGCTACACCAAAAGAGAAACTGCTTTTTAACCCTAGCATCTTCGGGGGTGGGGGTGGAGGGTTGGAAATCTCCCTTTAGAATTCATAATCAACAACTAGTACTCACATGGTTTTGTGGTCCAAATTTATACTGTGTGTTTCAAAAAACCTCAAGCAGAGAATTTAATTTAAAGACTGCCCAGACTGATAGTGTCTGCAAGCACCTGGCATAAACAAATACTATCCGGAAAAATCTGCCTTACACTTGGGCCTCAGAAAACTTACACAGATAAAACTTCCAAAGAATATAACCTCCCAGTTAATAAATCATAAAGACACAAGGAACTAAGATATCATGACAGAACCAACAGAAACAGGCCAAATGAATCAGATCTGAAAGGACTTCAAATACTTGAATTATCAACATAAAATAAGAATATTTAATATATTTCGATAAGAGAAGTTTGAAAGGGAGTAAAATTTTATCTAAAAAACTTACCACGCTGACTTGAAAAGGGAACAAAAATAGTGGTTAAAAATAAAAAATTCATATGAAGTCATTCAACATATTACTATATTTATTGGACACCTATATGCTAAGTGTTAGACCTTGGTCTAGGCTCTAGGGATAAACAAATCCAAAGAAATTGTCCAGAACTGTGGTCCCATGGGAGGGTGAAAAAGAGATGGATAACAGATGTTCGCACAGCATTACATCCAAGTTTCCATCATGCTTGTAATCCTCCTACAGTAACACAGTCCTTCTTGGGTTGGTACTTACCGTAGGCCTCTGGTTGGAATTCTCATAGACTGACCTGCTTTTAGGGCAGTGGTTTTCAGAGGTGCCTCAGAAATGCTAGGGTTAAGAGAGATGAAGGAGTGATAGTAGTGATTGTTCCACAGCTCGGTGGACTGCTAAAGAATTTCTCTAACAATATTTTTAACCAACAAAGACTGAGGAGCTAACTAAAGGATTTGCAATGAATATAATAATTTACTATTGGCACTCAGAATCCTTAATCAACAGTTAAAACTCTTAACTGTTTATTTATAGGACAGTTGATGCCAGGGTATCAATATATAAAGACCTCACCGTGAATACATATTCAGTTATTCAATGAATACGCCGCCACATAATCAACTCAGCAAACACCAGATTGCAAAGATATCAGAGCCTATGTTAGAAAGAGGGAGTATTTTAATGTCTCATGCGAATAATACATTCTCAGTGAAATTAAGAAAATAATGAATGTCGAAAATATTTAATTTTAATATGATGCAAATTAACACATTGACTGCCACACTAGAAAAAAATTTTTTTCCTTGGGGCCATGGTGTTTTATTATGAAAATAGAACAAAAACTTCAAAAACAAACAATCCTTTGTAACTTAACGAAAAATTTGTTATTTTTTTATTGTTTTCTGTGTGTGAGTTATACGCAATTAAATTGTTAATATTAGTTGTAACAATACGAACATCAAAAAGTAAGATTTTCACAAACCACTTGCAGTTACGTATGTTTGACGAGACCCCGGGCTCAAAATAGCATGAGTTAAATACAACTCACATGGCACTTAATGTGTTAAGTGTGATAAATATAATTATAAATTCAGTAAGATGCCATAAAATGGGGAAAAAGTAGAAAATAATGGTGAAAAAAGTAGAGAAGAAGATTAAAATTCTAGAAGAATTAGGATGTTTTTAAAACCCTGCTTCAGAAAGAGAAACAGCATGGCATACTATTTCCACAGTGCACTGAGACAAACAGGCCCAGTGCTGAATCCCGTTACTGCCACTTACTCTCTGGCAAAGAGCAGACCAGTCATTTAACCACTTGGAACCTCAGTTTCCTCATCTACAAAATGGAACTTGTTTACTGCTTTCAGGATGGTGTGACAATCAAAGACATGTGAAATACCTGGTGCAAGGTACATCTGTAGTGTTCTGTATTGGTAGATGGAAAAAACCAAAAACCCTAAAGGATCAGCTGACATATAACATGACACAGACTATGCAGAGCCAGTGCCTCAAAAGCCAGACATCCACTGAAGGTCACAGAACATGCAATACTGAGTGACCCTGACCTTGACAGTAAACATTGTTGAAGAGATAAAAATTAAAGGTTGAAACAAGAGAATGAAGTGAGCATTTAACGGGGGTCAAGGAGACAAGCAGGTCAAAGTAAATGACTAACAGGGAACTGGTCAATCTGGCGCAACCACCACCCAATCAGAAATGGCCCTGATGACATTCAGGGTAAGAGTAAAGACAATAAATAACAGTTCAAAGGACACACATTTGCTGAGCTTTGATACTGACTGCTCTACTGGCAGGAAAGAAGGCAAGGAGGTCTTTAGCTAGAAATTTGCTATCGCTTTACCTGACCAGAGCCTAAGGTTACCCCTGTCTTCTTTATAGTCCTTGAGGCACTGGGAAGTACTCTCATGGGGCTGAATCAGAGTTTCTCAGAGTGAAGAGCGACCATGCCACCACACGGTCAAGTCCAGAGAACGACAGACACTAGTGTAGTTGAGGCCAGACTATTCTGCCCTACGAACAGTCTCTCACCCCAGAGAATGGCTCAACTTGACTCAGTAAAGCAGGGTGGGCTACATCAGGTTCAATACAAGCTCTCTGTTATTACGTACCTCCAATGGCTACTGTTTTGCATTTATCGATAGGTTCCTTTAAAATTATTCTCATGTACGCTTGGTGAGGCAGGGTCTTGTCTTCTAGTTCATAAGTTTCCCAACCAGATGCTTTTGTGCATCCCAAAGAACTCAATGGTGTGCCTAGAACAGAGGAGCAATTTAAGCTTAACCACTTCAAAATGTAATCACAAAACTCTAAAGCTAAAAGAGACCTTATAAATCCAGTACAGCTCACTATAAATAAAAACATTTAAGTATTTGTCAACTTGGAAACAAAAAATTCACAATAGAGCATCCCTACCTTCCCGCATCTTTTCTTTTTTTTTAGCTTTATAATTTTTGTATTTTTTATTGTAGTAAAATACAAATAACATAAAACTTACTCCATCTTTTTATATTAAAAACTAAGTCTTTAAGGTGTTTCTCCTTTTGTAAATTTATCTATCTTTAATTGTCCATAAATAACTGATTATCAAAAATTAAGTATAAGTTTGAAGTTTCAGCTTAAAACTGAAAACAAAGGTAACTACTGAATTACCCTCTTTATAAGTTGACTGATAAAAAGGTAGTCATCTCTCTGGGCCAAAATACTGGCCTCATAAATGCTATCTTTTATATTTATATGTGTGTAAATGGTATATATTTTCTGGTAGCATAACTAGGAAGCTAGAGATAATGTTTTATGCCTGATAAAGAATAAAGAAGGTTATTCATTTAGTGCCTCATTCATAGCAATTTGTACTTACATGTGAAAAGACTGTGGACTCTAATGATACCTAGAGAGGTAGCATTTTTATTTTGATATTTACTTTGATCAGTGACATTCTCTTTCCTTTTGTTATAATAATCTGTAAGTGGGCTGGCTCTCAGCCCTTTCCAAGATCATATAAGCCCTACTGCATTGAGTATGTGATAAAAACTATGGCTATTCCATCCCCCACACACACATGCTCAAATTTCAGGAGAATCATGAACTCCTTGAAGCCATTCTGGACCCTATGATAAAAATCATGGGAGCTGCCATGTACCAAACTAGACAGCTGATATCTTGAGCTAACTCACACACTTAATTCTATAAAGAAACGATTCTTAGGGAACAAAAGAAAACACCACTCTTTATAGTCCTAAGGACCTAGTTATATCAGGCAATCTCCCCATTTAATTATTCTTTATCCTATTTGTAGATAAAAGTACTACACCTGGCCGGGCGCGGTGGCTCACGCCTGTCATCCTAGCACTCTGGGAGGCCAAGGCGGGTGGATTGTTTGAGCTCAGGAGTTCGAGACCAGCCTAAGCAAGAGCGAGACCCCGTCTCTACTAAAAAAAAATTGAAAGAAATTATCTGGACAACTAGAAATATAGAGAAAAAAAAAAAATTAGCCAGGCATGGTGGCACATGCCTGTAGTCCCAGCTACTCGGGAGGCTGGGCAGTAGGATCACTTGAGCCCAGGAGTTTGAGGTTGCTGTGAGCTAGGCAAAAGCCACGGCACTCACTCTAGCCAGGGCAACAGAGTGAGACTCTGTCTCAAAAAAAAAAAAAAAAATGGGTACTACACCTGTAAATAATCAAACACACTCACAAAGAAAACAGTTGTCACAAACTAAAACAACAAAACAAAAAACAAAACTAGTACTCTTGCCATTACATTAGCTTAAAAGTGATCAGTCAAAGCTTCAAAGTAAAATGTATTTCCATAAAAGAACATCATCTCCTGATGACAACAACATACAGTTTACAAACCCAAAGATAGAGCCAAGAGTGTTTAAAAAAAAAAAAAAAAAAAGTTATACCTCCAGAAATAGGATGTCTCTTTAAATTCAAAATTTCACAAAATCTCATATGGCAGACAATAATCTCAGTCATTTTGAATAATAAAATAATGTTTGGGAAAGTAAACTTGATTAATGCTAGCTGGGGATGCTTATAGGTCACTTGACAGAAGCTGGTTAACAAAAAAGAAGCAAAGAAATAGATTTAACAATTATTCTTGGAGGTTGGACCTAACAATAGGAAATACAAGATACCACTTTTTTTTTTTTTTTTTTTTTTTTTTTTTTTTTTTTTGAGACAGAGTCTCACTCTGTTGCCCAGGCTAGAGTGCCGTGGCATCAGCCTAGCTCACAGCAACCTCAAACTCCTGGGCTCAAGTGATCCTCCTGCCTCAGCTTCCCGGGTAGCTGGGACTATAGGCACGCACCACCATGCCTGGCTAATTTTTTCTATTTTTAGTTGTTCAGCCAATTTCTTTCTATTTTAAATAGAGACGGGGTCTTGCTCTTGCTCAGGCTGGTCTCGAAGTCCTGAGCTCAAGCAATCCTCCCACCTCGGCCTCCCAGAGTGCTAGGATTACAGGTGTGAGCCACCACGCCCGGCAGAGACACCACTTTTTAAAAGTCTTTTAAATATTATTTTTAAAAGCTATACAGATTTGGGAGCTATAGATGGCCAATGGAATGGGCCTGTTTATCTCTGCTTTCCTCTAAAGCCCCACTAAGATGACAGTAAAGCAAGAAAAAGATATAAATCCATAACGACAAAAGGAATAGAAAACTGTATTACAGCAGACAATAGACTTCAATGTGTCTAGAAAGCAGAGGTGACGGCAGAAGCTGAGCAGAGCAGGCGGGAACCTCACTGCCTGAGAAACAGAGTCAGCTGACTCCTGCAGAAAAGGTTCAGGAAATGGAGCTTTCAGTTCCTCCAAAAGAAAGGATGGGGACACAGCAGGTAGGACTGAAAAGGGGGTGGCTGGTTGACACCCTGTATAAAACAGTTAGACCTTTACCTTATGCCATATACAAAAGTTAACTCAAAATGGATTAAAGACCTAAAAGTAAGACCTAAAACTATAATATTTCTAGAAGAAAACAGAGGAAAAGCTTCATGATTTTTTTGGCTGTAACACCAAAAGCACAGATAACACATGCAAAATAGGCAAATGGAACTACATCAAATTTAAAAAGTAAAGGAATAAACCAAGAGTGAAAGGGCAATCTACAGAATGGGAGAGAATATTTGCAAACCATATATTCACTAAGGTGTTAATATCCAGAATATACAACGAACTCTTGCAACTCAACAACAAAAAGCCAAATTAACACAATTTAAAAATGGGCAAAGGATTTGAATAGACACTTTTTCAAATAAGATACACAAATGGTCAAGAAGCACATGAAAAGATGCTCAACATCACTGATTATTCATCAGGATAATGAGAATCAAAACCACAATGAGATATCACCTCACACCTGTTAGAATGGCCACGATCAAAAATAAATAAATAAAAACAAATAAACAAAAAACCTCCCAGAAAATAGCAAGTGTTGGCAAAGATGTGAAGAAATTGATTAGAACCCTTGTACACTGTTAACAGGAATGTAAAACGGTATAGCCACTATGGGAATAGTCTGGCAGTTCCTCAAAAAATTAAAAATAGAACTACCATTCATGATCCAGCAATCCTATTTCTGAAATACATCCAAAAGAAGTGAAAGCAGGGTCTTGAAGAGATATTTGCACAACACTGTTCATTACAGAATTATTCACAATACCAAGAGGTGGAAGCCACCAAAGTATCCATCAATAGAACAGATAAAGAGAATGTGGTATGTACATAAAATGGAATAGTACTCAACCTTAAAAAAATAAGGAAATCCTATGATATGCTACATGAATGGATGAACCTTGAGGGCATTAGGCTACACAAAACAAGCCAGTCACAAAAAGACAAATACTACATAATTCTATGTATAGGAAGTATCTAATGTAGTCAAACTAATAGAGTGGTTTCTAGGTGGCTGCTAGGGGCTGGGGAGAGGAAGAAAAGGGTAGTTGCTCAGTGGGCATAGAGTTTCAGTTCTGCAAGATGAAAGAGTTCTGGAGATCTTTTGCACAACCATGTGCATACAGTTAACACTACTGTTCTGTACACTTAAAAAATGGTTAAGATGGTATATTTTGTGTGTTTTTTACCACAATAAAAAAAAAAACAGGGAGCTTATCGTGGATTATCTGGGTGGGCCCAATGTAATCACAAGGGTCCTTAAAAATGGAAGAGGTAGACACAGGAGGAGGTCAGAGTGACGCAACGTGAGAAATATCTGACCCTCCGTTGCTGACTTTAAGGATGGAAGAGGGCTAGGAGCCAAGGAATGCAGCCAGCCTCTAGAAGTGAGGGAAAGCAGGGAAATGGATACTCCCCTAGAGCCTCCAGAAAGGAGCACAGCCTGTGGATGCCTTGATTTTAGCCCAGTGAAACCTGCATCAGACTTCTGATCTACAGAACTGTAAGATAATAAATTTGTGCTGTTGTAGGGAAAGGAAGAAAGAAAAGGCAGTTAGAACCCCAACCTGGTAAAGCCAAACAAATCACCCCTACTGAGGTTACTCTCTGGAGAAAACGATACAGCAATAGTTCAGACTCAAACACCAGATAAGGCTAAAAAGAGGCATTAGGATTTGAGCACTCACAGGCTTTGATGCTAAGACCTCTGGCTCTCTTCCTGTGTGGCTCCCCCAAATCCTCATAGGCAGAGTTACGCCCACAAAAAAGTAAACAGAACATTCCTTTTTGGAGAAACTGAAAGGTCCAAGAAGGAAGATCTGCAGATTCTGATGCATGAGAGTCACCCGTTAAATCATCCAGGTCCCTGTTCAATACCCTAGAGTGAAGCTCTCAAGGAAACAAATTTCCAGTCTACTTTTTCTTGTCTAACTCTTAAACATGAACAAACAACTAAATCCTCACCATTCATTTGAGAAAAGCCTCTACAATTAAAATCAGGAATCAAAACAAGCAGATAAAAGGGGGCAACACACAGAAAAATGTGCGAAGAGCAGAAGAAAACAGCAAAATAATTCAATTCATATTTTCAAAGGAAAGAGGAAAATATTGCTTCTGTGAAACAAAAACAGGATCCTATTTTTAAAAAGGAAATATTCAAAGACAGCAAAAGATTAAATTCAAAATTACAAACATTCTAGCAGAAATTAAAAATTCAATAGATACTAAGAAAACCTCTTAGAACATAAACCAAAACCACAGAGAGATGGAAAATAGCTAAGAAAAAAACATAAGAAATTTAGAGGATCAAACCAGCAGGTCCAAATACCCAACTAACAGTCTAGTGGAAAGCAGAGAAAAGGGGAAAAAGAAAATTATCAAAAAAATAGTACAAGAAAATTTCCATATTGAAGGACATGAGTTTTCAAGTCGAGAATACCATGAATATCAAAAAACCATAGGAAAAATGTGCCAATGTCAAATTTCAGAATTCTGGGGTTAAAGAAAAGCATCAAACATTTTCCAGAGACATAAAACAGTTCACAACCAAGTGGGAAACAGAATGGCCTGAGACGTCTCAACTCATATCACAGAGCTCAGCCGCAAACCAAATACAGTCATAATAAAGGAAACATTAATATTTATTTAAACACAGACTGTAACATGACTGCATCAAGAAAATGGAGAGACAGGAAAAGTAGGTGTGTACTAAGAGTAAAAGGTAGTCTATAAGAAATAAATCCTTAGCAGGAAATCAATAATCAATATAAGTCTAAAATTTTAAAAGTAATCAATAAATGGCACTTAAAGCATACAGTGTGGTGTTTAGAAATAGGTAGGTGACTACTAGAAAATACAACTAAAAGAGTTGAAAAGGACCATCTTTAGGCAAAGTGGCAGTAAGAATATAAAAAGAACAAAGAATGGCTACTGTAGTACTATTAGAATTATTAAACAGTGTAAATGCAATTACCTCAAAAATAAACAAATGGATGAAGGAGAGAAAAAGAGAGGGAGAGAGGGAGGAAGGCAGGTAGTTAAGTTGCTTGGTTTAACAAAGCAATTCTACAAACTGTTATACAACGAAGATCTTCAATGTTCATCCACAGAGAAAGATGAAAATAGCAACTGTCCTAACATTATGCAAATGGTTACTTGTAGCTTCGGATACAATTTTCAATTACGGCACCATACATGAATTCTAAAAGTGCTGTACTGCAAATAACTAAAATGATAACATGCTGTGGAAAATAGTATTGAATGCTTCAAAAATGTGACTCAAATAATGAAGACACTGATGTCAAACATGTATGTAAAGAGTTGGAAGTATTATTCTGGGGTAGAAAAAAAGCATTAAGTTATAATATTGTTTTGTATAAATACATAATTGTTCAATACATTATGTAACTAAATTAATTAAATGGTATAAATATGTATTTGACTATTTCATCTATATTCTCAAAGTATTGCTTATATATTCAAATTGGCCACAAAAAATTTATTTAGATCTTCTCACTGAGAAAACACAGATAATAGAAACTAAGCATAAAAGGTACATAAAGAAATTACCTGAATCATGCTGTTACTTTTCTTCATTAGTCTTCCATCCAATCTAGGAGAAAATAATAAGTAAATTAAAGCACATTCTTCATGTAATGAACTCTTTACAAGAAAAAACTAAAATCCAAGGAAACTATTATTCACTTCTTATGTATCCATAGGGGAGAAAAAAAAAGTTATTTTCCCAATTTCCAGCTAATTTCTGGCTATCATGGTATTCAGAGTAAGCTTACATTAGGCAAAGCCAAGCAGAAGCAAGCATGTAAATCCAATGCCAATAAAAAACTGCACACCAAGTACACCTAATGGTATGAGTTTTAAAATGATGTACTTTTATAAATTATCTCCTCTCCATTCAGGCAAATAACTGCTAACTGGCTATATAGAAAAAGATAAAGAAGCAAGAAAGCACATTTTTCAAACCGTGAGAGTTACTACCCCGGGGCAAAAAGGGGTAGCAACGTGTTTAAATGTTCAATGAAAATGAAATCAACAGCAAGCTAAGCAGAACAACCGCGGACCACATATATAAGTGTATGATCAAAGAGCTTATAAATAGACTTTAACCCACATCGCCCTAAAGGCTTTAAAATGCTTCCTCATTTCATTTCACGAAAGACTTTCTCAACTAACAATGAAATATTACCCTAAGTAAAATACACATGTGAAATTAGGGTACCCCACAAAAAAGGGAAAAGGTACCTTTTAAAAAAATTAATAAGCTTGGAAATCCTTAGCAGCTTAATATATTTTCCTAAAGTGAACACCACTCTCTTAAAAGGTTACCACTACCCTGACTTCAAATAGCACACATTAGTTTTGCCTACTGGGCAAGGTGTTATTATTCAGTCTAAGAGTCTAAGAATCCCTGTATCTGGACCAAAATAAAATGCTTTAAGGAGAGAGGAGCAAGTAGTGGCTGAGAGCAAGGTGGTGTTATTTCAGGAAGATGTCAACGTGTCTAAGGAAGAGGGTTTGGTTGGTTGGTTGGTTGAGGTCAACCTTCAAGTTCTCCAGAGACTATAGGACAGAGAAGCTGTTTAATGATAGAAATAGAAGGGAAAGTGCCTTTCTATTATCTAGATGAGTATACTGTGGAAAGTAAGATGGGAGGAGGAGCAGGAGCAGAGGAAGAGGGGAAGGGGGCGGGGGAAGAGAAGGCTGGCCTCCTTTCTACAGGTACAAAGATATCTGTAAAATAAAAATAATAACCAAGCTTGATACGTACTAGAAGCTAGACTAAGTCACTAACGCATCATCTCACTTGATCTTCCAATTCCTTTGAAGTTGGTTTTGCTATCCCCAGTCGACAGATAACAATACCAAGTCTCAAATCAGCAGTAAGGTGTCTAAAGTACAGTTAGTAGGTAAAGCAAAGCTATTCCTCTTTACAGCTTGTGTGCAGTGCTAGAGACGCCATCAACAGAAAGAGAGATGTTCACAGACACGAAGCCATGTAACTAGATACAGAATATGCTGTATTGTCCTTGCCCGTAAATCATTTAAAGGAAAAGAATCGAGTTATTCAGGACCCACAAAGTCTTCTGAATTACCAGAAAGTTGAATAGCTTTGTCACTGGTAAAGTAGGCCACTTATCATTCTGTGCCTCAAAGGAGAAGTTTCAAAAGAAATCCTTATACTTCACGAGGTATAATTTTCTGACATGTTAACTGGTTTTATCACACTGTATACTTTCCCACTGAAATGGGAGAAATCTTTGTACCTTAGAGACGGTCACAGATGCAGAAAGCCAAATTATCACCATAGAAATACTGAGGAAGCTGTGATAGTGCCACCGCCAAATGACACGCCACACCTGCACGAATATTCAATTTCTATAAGTACTTTCAAAAAGCATAGGCCAAAATGTGAATACAGTTCAAAAAGGGAACTTTCCATTCTGCCACTTGAGAGAGAAGAAATAAAATATCTACCTTTTAAGACAATATGTGATGTACCAAAGACATGTAGCTCAAAAGATCTTCCTGCATCCTCACTGGTCAATACAAAATCATTCCTCAATAACAATAACATGACTGTCAGACATCATGAAATACCTTTACACTGAATCCTGCAATAACCCAGTATGTGTGCGTTGGGGGGCAGGTAAAGGCATTAGAATCCCCAACTTAATTAGAGGCCTACCTTTAGGGTATTGTGTTGAACATAACAGTTCTGGCTTAATGATGAACATACCCAAATCTGCTTTTCAATACCAAATCATTTCATTATCCTTTCACTGTTTTCCAGTTCCAAATTGCTTTTGATATTGTCCTGAGTAAAGGATATTGACCCTCCTGGGAGATGGAAGAAGTGCCTTGTTAGTGAGTGGCTTGAGGATAGGAAACAAAAATAGGTCTGGATAGATTCTTAGAACAGATAACTGCCAAAGCCTCTGAGAGCACAGTGGTGATTTTCCTCATATGAGATCTAGCACCGGGAATGCATAGTAAAAGCTGCAGGCTTGATCTTTCAGTGGACACATTCCGTGAAGATACAATGCAAGAAGTTCTTTTTGGGACTGCATGAGTAAGCAAGTTAACTATGCATAAGCATACCATGCACAGTAAAGCATCTGTGGGAAAAGTTACCCAAATTACACTTAAAAGGCTGTGGCTCTAAACTTTCAATCACGACTGGGTAAAAGAAGGCAAGAATCTTTACAGACATTAATCCAATGACATTCAGAAGAATACAGCAGCAGAGAGGGCAGAAAAGGTACCCTTCCCCCATTCCCAATAATTCGAGTATAGCAATATTCAAACCCCTATTTGTTTTCTACTAGTGACTTCCTCCCAAGAAAAACACACTAGAGTAGGGTAAAAAGGAATGGGTATAAGAACAAAGGTTGTGGGAGGAAAAGATTAAAGTTCACAAAATTTTTGCAAGGCATTGGCAATCCCCCACTTTACAAGTGTACATTTGTAGGGCCAGCCCTTTCAAAGCTTATTACTTCCTTTTAAACTAGGGAGGACAGTGGTTTTATCTTGCGGGCCAATCTGACTGACAGGCAGTAGTTGCCCAGAAGCAATGCTGGCAGACAGTGCCAAAATCAACAATGGACAGTGCCATTGTCCACTATGGACACATGACATGGAAATTGCAGCAGGAATTCTTTATTTCTGACAGCCCTGTCCCAAACTCTATTATTAGAGTTCAATTGTTTCTTCTCAGGGGGAAGATGGTATATAATTAGAGATGAATAATGTATAGAGACTAGTAACAGCATAAGATCAATGTAATTATATTTTTCTAATAAAACTGTACTTTATTAGAATAGCAAAAAACACTGGAAACTTTCTCATTCTTACTCATAAACAGCATGTTATGCATATTAGAGCTTGGTTTAGCTGAACACAAAATCCAAAGTACAAAGTTGGCATTATCTTCTTTTATACAAAGTTGGGGCTTCCTTCCTTTAATGTCTAACTCTCAATAAACACAGCTTAACTGAACCTTTTCTTCCTTACCTCTGCTTGGAGTAGAACCTTTACTATCTCTCACAAGGGACCTGACCACTGTTGCAAGGTCTCTAGTTTTGGTGGCTGCACACTGCCAGTCTCCTGCTAGAGTCACCCACAAGCTTCCTCCTGCCTGCAGCTAGTGCCAGCTCTCTTCATAAGGGAGAAGGACCTTCCACTACACTCAAGGAAAGCCTTCATCTCCCTTCCCTAAACCTCATACTGCATTCTTACTTTTTTCTAGATTAAAAAAATAATGCAGAGAGTAAACTGAATGTCTTGTCCCACCCAGCCCTTCCTCAAAACTTGCTTCAACTTACAGCCAATCAGATTCTCTTAGGTAAATCACAGGGCTCTTTTCTCCGAGCTGGTTGGCTGAGGTGTCAAAGAAAACACACAACATAAAAAATCATCTATTAACTACAGGGGAGTTTAGCAAGTTCCCAACCTGCCTCTCTAACTGGCTTTTCCTTTCCTATAAAACACATTTGAATAGAGGAGTTTAGAAGAACGGGTTCACCTAGAAGCAAAGGACAGACTTACACTTTAAATACTAAAATGTGGGAGCTCAAGGAGAAGATTTAATGGGGGATAAAAAATTCCAGAGAAATATACTCTTAAGGAGACAGTTACTCCAAAAAATGATAAGGGGTGAAAGCAGCTATGCTCCAGGAAATAGTAAGATAAATTCATGGGAAGAAAGCAAAAGTGATAAAAGGCTGGACTCTAACCCAGTTTCAAGAGTGACCTCAAAGCAAACAATGGCTCCTCTCTCCTTCTCTCCTTAGCACAAATAGTAACCAAGTGCCTTTGCTTAGTGCTGAAGGGAAGAAAAGGTACTTCATCCCTTCATTCAGCAAGTATTTACTGAGCGTCAAGGTGGGATTACATAGAGATGAAAGACTGGCTTCCCTGAAGGAGCTCACAGTTTCGAGAGGAGAAAGAAAAACACATAAAACAATATTTACATTTCTATGTGGTACCAGAGTGATACCACAGAGGTAAACTTCAATAGAACACAAACAACCACTTCCCTTCAGGAGCCAGACACAATTCCTGGGCATTTTATACAGCTCATTTGAATCCTTGAAACAAACCTGTGAGACTGGCAAACACTGAAGAGAATTAGGGTGTATGGGACCCAAAAAGAAGATCTTTCAAGCAAAGAGTGTTTTTTTATTCAAGTTAAATCTTCAAATTATGGCCCCCACCCCACATACAAATCTCAACCCCAGTTTTACCATTTATAGGCTGCCCAGCAGTGTCTAAGCTTCCTGGAACTTTCACTGAGAAGTTGACAAACTGAAGAAATAACTTTCTAACATTGCAAGTCTTGTTATCAAGGGCCACATCAATAATGTCCTGCCTCCAGTTTAATGAGAGCAGTTTTGGTTGTTTATAAATCCCTATGCATAGATGTGCCAAAATAATCTTCCCCATGTGTTGCTTACCACACCCTCAGTACCTAGGACAGGACTGTTAAGCGCCCAGGAAATCCTATCATCTTTCTCTGTCACCAATCATCACATCAAGCTTCTCAGTTCACCATCAAGATCCCCCTCTACTTTCCACATTTACTCATTTATTTAA